TGTCTCGCGGAGACGGGGATTTTATATTCTAGACGGGGTAGCGGCGGCTGCAGACGAAAGAGGGTGATAGTCCTCCCCCCCCCCTCCTTACTGCCCAGTCCGCATGCATCTTGCAGCAGGAAAATAGTACGAGCCAGCAGGCTGCGACTCAAGTCCGTTTTACGGCATTTCCTCGTGTTTAACCGCGGTCTCGGGTGTGTCCACGCGTGACTGTGCATCGGCAAGAAGATTGATTCAGTTCGGGGGACACGCTCGCGACACGACAGCCTAGCCCACACGCGCGCCCCAAGGCCGGGGTATTATAGATTGGTATGACCCTCACGCACCCAAACATCTCCCATACCACGGCGTGGCTCGTTGTCCGCCGTGTGAGTACCGTCGGTGAGTTCGGGCAAAACGACCTGTGCAAATAGTTCCCCCTCCCTCCCTACCTCCCGTCCGCCCCTCGGCGGCTTATTCGCGCAAGGCGCTGACCTGGCGCGGCCGCGAGCGCTTAGCCGCGCGCCTTTGTCTCTTATCAGCGATCAAGAGTCACATGCCGTCGCCCGTCCAGGCCGCTATCAGCGAGGGATAAAGGCATTATCCCTAATGACACACCAGCCTATACCCCCCCCCCCCCCTAACGGCCCGTCGCTGCAGCACCGCGGATTTTAGCCTCTCGTAATGACTTGGGATCGTCCAAAAACTATAACTTCGCGCAACGATCATAATATACCCTCACCTAAACAATCATTCTAGGCAGAGGCAGTGTTGGAAATAGTTCATTTTTTCATTTTATACTGAAGAGTTAATGTGCTGAGTATAAGGGCGCCTGCATGGGGTTTTTGCCATTTTTACGAGCAACTACTTTTCCTCTTCTGGGGCCTGGCCGGTGCGGTGCAGCGGCGCCACGCCACGCCTCGCCACGCTTCACTGGCGCAGTAAGGTCTGGGTCGGACGGACACGGACAGCCTACGTGAGCTGACCAAAAAACCGCTGCCGCCGACAACGCCACGCCACGGCACACACACGCACGTAGCAAGGACGGCCGGTCACACACGAGCAGTACCGAGAGCAGGGACACTTCCGATACTTCGACATATCGATTCTCGTTTTACAGAACACACAACGCCGCTCGGCGAGAATCCGAAAGAAAATAAGTCATTTATTTTACGCCACTTTGAGTTATGACCGGTTATGACCGCGAGGTTGACCGGGTGCGATACGGGCGCTAATAGTGCGCCACAGCGAGGGGAGAGTGTTGTGAAAAAGATATGGAGTGAAAGAGGGCGACAGAGAGAGAGGGGAGAGAGAGAGAGAGAGCTGCTAAATGAAAAATGTGTCATAATAAATGTCAACAAAGCCGAGAGCGGCGAGCGCTAACACCGTGATACATTTATTTTCTTTCTTATTTTTCGCAGTGTGCAGGGCCCAGTGTGATGCTGGCCGCCACTACTGGCGCGGCACTAAAGCAAAAACGTGCCAATAACGTGGAAGGGGCGGTGCGACACGTTTTGGCTCCAATTCCCCAGGACGCTGTTGTTTCCTTGACCTGTTCCATTACTTTTAATTGCGAGCTCTCTCTATCTCGATCTCTCTCCACACCAACCCTTCCTGCTTCCCTCCTTCTCTGTCTCTCTCGCTCTGCGACCCTCCAGCGGCACGGCTCCACACGGGGAGGCCTAAATGACTACTACGGGCCAAATCGACTATTTCCACCCTCCACCCCCCTCTCTCTCTCTCCCTCTCTCTTTTCCCCTCTGTTCCTCCCTGTCCTTCTACACTCACACTCGGCTGCACGCGGCGCGCGCACTGGGCGCATCACGATCCCATTCGTGGAACTTTTGTGCATAATCAGGCGCCATAACAGCGTTGGCGCTGGCCGCACCTCTGGGCTCGCACCCCGCCACGCCCCGCCCCGTCCCGCCCCAACCGCCCCGCCTGCTGACCACGCCGCCGGGAGTTGCGTCCTTCCGGCAGTGCGCGACCCTCGATGTTCCACGCCAAGCGCCAAGTCCGTAAAGAGGGCGATGGTGACGCGGTAACAGCGTCCATACCTTTGTCCAGATAGCCACCCTAAGCTCTGTTTTGACCTTGCACCATGCACTTGGTGCATTCTTGAAACGACCTACACCAAAAACCGTAGTGTGTGAATGTCGCACACTTCCTTATAGGCGAGCGAGCGCCATTTGCACACACTGATAAACTAAGTGTTCAACTGCTCAACATTTGCAAGTGTGCAACTCCTCGCTGGAGCACTACTTCCTATATAGTAATCGTTTAAGCTAAGGAAGTGTTCAACCAAAAATTGCACACTACTTGCAAGAAGTGCACACTTACCGAGTTGATCACTTTCAAGTGTACAACTACGGACTTGCACACTTTCATGTGTTGAGCAGTTGAACACTTAGTCTCGCACTTAGTTTATCAGTGCACATGGAGGCACAAGTGTGTGAATTTCAAAGTAAAATTTGCACCTTTACTGCCTTAAGTCTACGAATAAGGCATTCACACACGTGAGTTTCAGAGTAGCCAAGCCAAGAGTGAGAAGAAACCGGAAGCCCCCCAGTGGGGACGATGAAGCAAACAGAAACAGCCGCGGTTGGAAGTTGTCGCGAGTCTGCGTCCGCACCGCGCACTCACCTGGTTGCCGAAGACGCCGATGGAGCAGGCGGAGGACACCTGGCCCGGGCCGAACCACACGGCGGCCAGGCGGGCGGGCACGTTCAGGATGAAGACCTGCGACACGGCCACGATGGTCTGGCCGAGGAACGTGACCCAGTAGCGGTCGCGCGCCACCGAGAACACCTTGACCCACGAGCCGGCGCACGTCCCCAGCACCGCCAGCACCAGCGCCCAGCGCAGCCCCTGCGGAACAGAGAGGTTGCATTCGAATCAACTTATGCAAATTGAACACAGTTGCAACGAGTAGGCCTAGACAACGCGGGGGAGAAACTGCATGCCGGTTAAGCGACACCAAGAGACACTGTGAAAAATTGTCGTACCGGGTACAGGAAAATTTTCCATGGAAAGTAGTACAAGTACAATCTAAAATTGTACAATTTACTAGCCCTATGTATCGACTTGGAATCGAATATCGAGCGACAGTGGGAGGTTGTACATGTAAGACTCGTATTGTAAATGGCAAATTACAAAATACATCCTACATGTACAAACAAATATATTTTTCACAGTGGTTAGGAATGAAAATAATTTGTGATTTTCAGTTGCACCGTCATAACACTAATTTAAGCATACGAAAGTCGCACACATGCAGGTGAGTAAAAAGATTCACACACATGTACGAGTGTAAATTGTTAATTTTTTTTCACTCTGCGACATTTGTACGCCTGGACTATCAGTTTACTGTTTCGAAAAAACAAATTATATCATGAAATACATTATTATTCAAATCGCTCAATTACACAGTTCGACGTTTGAAATAATGTAATCCGGGAAACGAATTCTCCAACGGAGTCAGGACAATAGGGCCGCCGCCCGGCGCAGGAAACAGCTGTTGCCCCGGTGCCCTCCGGTGCCCTCGCCCCCCACCCCAGGGGCCCGGGCCGGGGGGCCTGCGCGCACGGCACCAGAGGGCACCAGTGGGGCGGCTGGTGCCCTTCGACCCTGGCCCCACTGGCAGTGACCCAGACCCGCGGCTCCCTCCCGACCTGGGGCAACGCAGAGGGAGAGCCTTGGCAACGGACGGGGCCACACGGCGGGGAGGAGGGGGTATCCAAATCCACTCTCTGCCCCCCCCCCCCTCTCTC